GTATGTGGAAAATAATGTGTTTTTTTAACCTTAAACCGCATAAACACATTTCATTACACCAAATACACAAAATAATGTTCTTTTTAGCAACATCATATGACCCCTTTAATAAACATATTAACATAAAAAAAAAAACTAAAACCATAAAATTAAAATGAAGACAGGAAATATAAAATTAATAACTGATTCAAATCATTAATAATAACTATAATACTATCTCAATGATACTAAAACAGCACTATATTGTTTGCCAATTACTGGAAAGAAATTATTTCTTACAAATAATACCCATAGTGGAATTGCGCACACAGCATGTAATTGCGACCAACAAAAGATACTGTGTTCAGCATGTTATATTAAGCACGTCACACAGCATTTAAGACTTAAATTTCAAGTTTAAAGTAGTCAAACAAGAAAAACACTTCAAGACCCCTACAGATTTATTCTATCCCTTTGTGCTACATATAGTTGTCTTTGAACAAATGAACAAGAATAACCCTGCCTATAACATTTGTGTCAAAGGGTATCCACATACAACTATTTGCTGTAGTTTGTAAAACATGCAAATATGCTGGTTTCATTATACTAGTTATCTGACATAACTGTAAAGTCTACATGATGCTTTCAGCTGATGTATACTGCGTTTTTAGAAATTATGATTAGCAGGATGGTCAATATGTATGATATCACACTATTTAATATAAATACATTTGAAAAAAAAAAAATCTAAAAAAAAACAGATTTATACTTTATACAGAATTGTTTTGATTCTGCAATCCTATTGTAGTAATTTTTGTGGTAAAATAAAATAAAATAAATAAATAAAAAGCATTAAACACAAGTGAAAGAACCCGCTAACCAATAGTGCACTCAGTAATCCATTTCGCTAATGGACCTTTTTCAAATTTCCGGGTTTCTTAGCAGCGGAAGTCGTCATAGTTGGGTTAACTTGAAGAGCAGTGAATGGGAGAGTACCACAAATATATTTTTTTGCATTCCCATTTGCTCAAATAGCTAAAGAAAAACTCCACGATAGTGTTTTCATGACTTGCAATAAAAGGAAAAAAAATTGAGAGAGACTGATAACGGTAGTCAGAAGAGAGGACGATGTCAAATTTACCGTCCTTTCCATAGACGCTGCATTAGAAACACCCTCGCATTAGCAGTTTTTTTGCAATTTGATGCAAAGGTGATATAATACAAAAAATAGTGTTATAAATGTAGATACATAAAAAAAAAAAATAATACAAATATGATTTACGATGCTGATGAACATTAAACGCGTCATCACAGTCTTGTGAAAAGGGTCGATTTTACGGTATACAGTGAATATTACAAACCGGACATAGTACAGCATAGTTTAAAATCAAGGATTTAAAGTTGCTAACTGATGCATGTACAGTGACAGCACAACTCTCCATGGGTGCATTTGAGCCAGCTTTTAGCAAACTATGGTCACAAGTGAATTGAACTCTATTGGTAACAACAGAACTTGCAACCATAGCTGCTTTTGGGAAACGCACCCCTCTCCGCATCTAATTCACAAGGCTTAGATCTTTTTTGCATGGACAGAGCACTACACACAATATACAGTACATGCACTTTTAAACAGGCTACGCATTTGGCAAATTTGCCAAAGTTTGGGCATTAAAGGATTTTTTCCACATGTATTAATTTATTTAGAATGCAAGAAGAACACATTGTCCAAACATATTGTTTACCAAGACATTATTTTTAATTTGCTTCAGGAAATAAAAGACGACATGGAATCCTCAACTAGGAGTCACGCAATACCAGGTCTATCAAAGCTTCTTGCAAACCTTCATTTTTTGGTCTCCGGTTCTTTTCAACGTACTGTGGCTTCTTTATTTCTTTATTTGCGACTATGCTAATTTGCGCTGCGCTTGGTATATTGCGTTGGTCAATATGGAAATGAGATGTTGCATCTGTGTTCTTAAAATTTGCGCGTTGTTAGTAAAAATTTCCCCTCCCATCTGCACTATTTTGGAATTTGCCCTGTTTAGTAAAACTGGCCCTAAATGTTTAGATGTTCTTTAGATATTAGACTTAAGTATTACTGCATTAGCCTTTCGATTATTAAACAGAACTGTTAAACAAAGGTAGTCTGAGCTTAGGTTCTGGGATCAGCATAAACATCCCGCTTCCTACTCGGCCATAAACCTATCGGCCAAACGTCAAATATTGGCCTTGATGATATATCGGTCAACCACTATTATGAGGTCCAAATTCTAAGCTTTTAAAAGTATCAAGTGAGTGATTTTTAATTACCTAGCTACTCCACTTTGAAAAATGGTAACTTCTACAGAATATTAACTGGTATTATTCAAACCAAAAACAGTATTTAGCATCACTTAATCACATTAATTTATACAAGCAAAACTAATTTTTATAGGTTACATGAGGTAGAAATATCAATTGCATTTTACCAGCACAGAAAACCAGGTTTACAGTGCAGACAAAAGGGTTAAAACACAAAAAGCAAAATGATAAATTGTTTCAGCCACAGCAAGGTGTTCATTATCAGCCCAGAAATGTCCTACTGGTACATCCATATTTGTGTGATTAAACTATAATAGCTATTACATCTTTTGAGTTATAACCTCAATAAACGAAGCAATTCCAAGAGGGTCTTCGCACCATTGGTGCTTGGGCCCTAATTAAATTTAACTTATTACTAATTAGACAAATACTGGTTAAAATGTTTAAAATATCAAGACTTCTTACTTTGACTGGGTCTGCTTTGTGATGTTCTTTATAGTGAGTCCCTCTTTCCCAATGATGGCTCCCACAAACTGAGTGGGCACTAGGATTCGTAGAGGCACCTCTTGCTGACGATGCCTGGGCCACTGGGGGCCTCCCATGGCCCCTGGCTGACCAAACTCCTGCTCCCGACTTCCTGTCCCCATTTTAGATGCCCCTCGTGGGACCTGGGGTCTTACACCCCCGTCCCTTCCTGCCTCCTCGTCCAGTATGTATGACACACTGAAGGAGTGATTCTCAAAACTGTGGCCTGTCAACTTCTCAACAGCCCTGGAGAAGAATGAGAGAGAAAGAGATCAGTCAATCATTAGATAAATCACTAGATCAAGACATACTTAACACAGACCCCAAACAACACTCGCAACGAGAAACAGTATTGGTTACACTGGGATAATATATACTGTCATGAATTAATTACAAAAATGGATGGATTCCAACATTAAAAATCATTAATCAAATAAATATGTTTATTTCGCACATTTCGCATGACCTGCTGCTGTTATAGCCACCTCACTACTAGGGTTGGGCAAATTTTAAGAACTGACGTTCATTCATGAGGAATTTTAATTGAATTGCCCACACCCTACAGGCTGCCTTGGAATTTGAATTGAAATGACAAGAAGAGGTATTGCAATTCAAATAACGTTAACAGTCAAACAGTCACAGAGCAGAGCAATTTCATTAGTGCAACAAAACATATACTAACTGCACAACTAATTTTAACTATTTATGCTTATTTATCTTTTGATGTGCAAAATACATTGTTTGATTAGACACATATTTCTCTAAACTGTTGAATATGGTCAAATTAACAGAAACAGTAAACCTCCATAAAACATCTATCATATTGTGTTCAGATATTTATTTTTAAAAAAAATTCATTATAAAAAAACTGAATCTATTCACTTAAGCAAATTAAAGCATTCTTATATTACATGTTGCTTCAACATTATGCATAAAATTCATTTTAATTTTTGAAATATAATAATTATTTTATGCAAAATATTGAAATTAACTACCATTCAAAGGTTTGGGGTCAGTAAGATGTCTCTGTTCACAAGGGCTGCATTTAATTGATCAAAAATACAGTAAAAACAGCAAGATTGTGAAATTTTATTGCAATTTAACATAACTATTTTCTATGTGAAGACATTTTAAAATGTAATTTATTTCTGTGATCCTAAGCTGAATTTTCAGCATCATTACTCCAGAGTTCAGTGTCACATGATCCTTCAGAACTTATTCTAATATGCTGATTTGCTGCTCAAGAAACATTTCTTGTTATTATCAGTTGAAAACAGTTTCATATTTTTGTGGAAACTGTGGTCAATTTTTTTCAGGATTCTAGAAAAAAAGGAACTTCAAAAAAGCAGATTTTATTTGAAATAGTAAAGATATTTATAATGTAATAAAATATTTTTGTCATTTTTGATCAATTTCATGACCCTTGCTAAAATAAAAATATTAATTTATTTAAAATAAAAAATAAAACCTGACTTGATTCCAAACTTGTGAATGGTGCATATAATTTCTAATGAAAAATAAAATGTAATGAAATTAGATTAAATTCTAGCTGAAATCAACTTCAGGAAATAAGCTAGTTCAACTCTGAACAGTGCACAACCCTGCTCACTACAAATGCTGATACAATTACCGAGCGCCGGTCTGTCGCCCTATGACAGGAAATAGTAAATCAGACAACTCACAGCACACACATACCCACCCACTGGGACAGACCTCCCTCAGATCAAAGCTCCAAAATACGATCCCTGGAGACAAGAAATCATCCAAACCCCTAAACCCTTCTTCCACCACACACACATACATATTAAGATACATAAAACAAGGCACTGCCCAGTAAAACCACTTTTTACAACTGCAACCTACACTGTGATGGCTACTTGATTGATCCATTGTGACTAGTACTGCCATATAAATACAAACAGATCCATTAACCTATTATCTGCATTATCCCGCGGGGAGAAAATCCCCATGTTCACTGATGTGGAACCACTTTAGAGATCTAAATTAGTTAACGGGAACATTTGATGATACAGGGCAGGAGGTCTGTGGTTTAAAGAGATGTTTGAAAGTGTGTGTGTTTGTGTGTTAGCCATATGAGAGAAATTTAGGGTTAAACACCAGCTGGCTTGGCGACTGGTCCAATACAACGTGAACTATGATCTGATGCAGCAGGCCTCTGTCGTACCCACTGTTGCACACACACACACACACACACACACACACACACACACATTCACAGAGGACTTTTATCAGCTGCTGGGAACACAGTTACTATTGTTTGAAGCCAAGTGTTCAGTCAGGCATGAGTCCCGGAGCAAATATTCTCAGCTGATGTCCATTCATTCACAAATGTAATGCTACAAATGCAACATCAACTATGTGAAGTGTTGTCAACCATTAGCTATGTCACCAAAGTACTGCGGATTTCAATTTTTTTAATTGTTTGAATATCTGCATCAGACTTTGTTTGGTCGATAATCATTGGAAGTAGGACTTTTATATTGACAGCACCAGGACTTTTATTTTAACTAGTGCTGGGCAACGATTAATTGCAATTAATCGCATCCAAAATAAGGGTTAAAACACAAAAAGCAAAATGATAAATTCCAAAAGGCATTGTTTAGCCTATATAATGTATGTGTGTGAACTGTGAATATTTATTATGTAGGCCTATATATAGATACACACATACAATATATATTAAGAAAATATTTACATGTATATATTTATATTCATATAATTTATATTATATATAAATATATTTAATAAATAAACAACATTTTTCTTCAATATATACATGCATGTGTGTGTATTTATATATACATAATAAATATACACAGTACACACTAGGGCTGCACGTTTATAGGCTACTGATCATTATATTTATACGGACAGTGTCTACACCGAACGCGACAGCTGTACAGAGATACCCATTTTAAATACATTTAGTAGCAGAGCTACTGCACAGTGCTGGAAATCCATTGATCCTTTGTTGAAACTTCCGCGTCGTTGTGGAGAGCACAGGTCACGGTTACTTTGCTTAGCAACGGCAGACCGCACGAAAGCGCAAGCTCCCGAGCGCTTTGAAAAGAAGGAGAAAGCGGCGCGACTGGCGTTTTCCCACGCGTTTTTAGGCGCGACATGTGAATGGCCCCAAAGTCTGTCTGGACGCGGCAAATCGACCGTTGCCAATCATTTGAACTTTGTGTCAGTAAAGAAATTAATTTTAAAAAAATCAAAGAAAACGCGGCATCAGTTTACTGTCGGGGATTTGTCATGCCGTGCCGCATACAGTGTAGACAGCATCACTGATTATAATGGATTCATTGTATTTTCTCGCGTCGCACCACTCGCGTCCGGTGTAGACACGGTGAGAGCCACGCATAGCTTTATACATTTTTCTGTATTGCTTTATTGCATTTAAATGTTCAGTTATTTTTGTTATAAGAAAAACGTTATTAAACCTGTTATACTGTATTATGACAGCACTTTTTAAAACTACATTTCAATACCGTGATAATACCGTATACCGTGATAAAAGCATTAGCAATTAATCGCAACATGAAAATTTGATACCGGCATATCCCTAGTTATGAATGTTAATCAAACAACAAAACACAAAGAAAAATCACTTTTGTAGCTTTAACACAGATTTATTAGATTTAATTTGCTGATTTATGCCGATTTACTCACCTACAAAATCACCTCAATCATTGATTATTTTTTCCCCTAAATAAACTATTCAAGTCATATGGCGATTTTTTTTTCATATTGCCAAATATAATCGCAGAAAAATAAAACATCACAATGTGATTTTTTTCCAATATTGTGCAGCCCTAGTACACACATATATTATGTACTCAAAAACGTTTATTTTGGATGCGATTAATCGCGATTAATCGTTGCCCAGTATGAATTTTTACAGCATTGAGAATAAACACACAGGAGCTTCCATTCTAAATATAAATTGCATTGCATGTGTTATTTAGCCTACTATCTATGAAAAACATCCGTAATTACATACATCGGCTTTATATCATGCTGCTCTTTAGGATATCACATTTGGACATACAAAATGTATATCAGCATTCTTACTCTTACGAATTTACTCTGTATCTTTAATCTGGGCATTCAAAAGTAAAGCTTGCATCTTTCCAACTGTAACTGTGTTTATGTATGATGATTATATTGGCTGGTTACTGAAAACAACATTGAGTGGAGTTCTCTTGCTGCAGTTACTCAGAAGCACAGAATGAGTAAATAACCGTTTACACAGGAAGCGTTCCTGGATTGCAACAGAATAGAACAGAATGCACGCATTTCAACACTGTTTTTAAATGTTGAACTATGCTTAATTTAACTGCCATCCGAATGCTTAATGCAATGCACCAATAGATCACCCTACAGAACACAATGCCAACAAGCAACATGTGAGCAGGGGTACATGATACACTACAAGCTATTACCAGCTGCATGTCTGTAGTCTGAATTACCACTACTGCAACAAGAGCAATAACCTACAGCTCCGGTAAAAGTCTGGATATTAGGTGAGATTCACTTTAATCAAAAAGAGATGGGCCAATAAAGCTACACATTCACAGATCTGTTCAAAGCAGGTGTGTGTGTGTGCACCAGTCAGATGAACTTAAAGCAGGTCACAGGAATAAACAAGACTCACTATCAATCACCAGTGACTGTAACAGGGTGACATAACAGACTGCACTTGTGGGCCAAATGACATCACGGCCATAAGATGATCACTATGCTACATCACCTCCACTAATGGGGTCAGATGAGTGTCAGTTACTGTTCTTCTAGAACTAACCCTTAAAATTATTTTAGTTGGTGTAACAAAACATTTAGGCAGATTCAGCCATATTAAATGTTTCTGACTTGAATAAAACCAGTTAATTTAGGCTATACGTTTACACTAGTGCGTTTTCATTTTAAAACGGCGTTTTAAATTGAAAACAATCCTTGTCTACACTGGCGTTTTCACTGAGTTTCAGAAACAATCTCCGTCTACACTACACAAATGAAAACGCATGTCACATGACCATTCATGCAGGTACAACCATAGATATGTATAGGTAGATTCCCTATTATTTAGATAGCGAACGCGTCTACGTGCTTGGAGCGGTCGAATGGGAATCTACCTATCTATATCTAACAAATCTATGGGTACAACAATGAGCATGATGTTATTGTTTACACGGCCATCAAGGATACGCAGAGCGAATGTGGGT